TTTCAATAAAAAATGCAAATATTATATTCAATATAAACTTTTGGTGAATCTATTGCAGCTTTAACTGGATCATATTTTGGAAAAAGACCTCCTTTATTGAAGCTCATGTAAAGACCTGTATTTTCCTAATTGAAGTGGTCAAAAATGAAGATCAAATGAAGATGCTTTTTATCATCTGAATGAGAATTTCATTTTCTTTTTATTCCCATTGAATAGGTGGAGTAAAGTTCTGATCATAAATGTGAAACCGATATAACATACCTCTAATTAAAACAATACCAATATTAATGCTTGCGTTAGCAACAACAAGAATGACAAAAAACGGCAAAAGAGCTAGTAAATATTTATAAAATAGCAAACTAAATATCTCAAGTAAGTATTTATTTATATTTATATATATATAATATATATATATTATAAGGCAGTGGTGCAGTAGGTAGTGCTGTCGCCTCACAGTAAGAAGGTCGCTGGGTCGCAGGTTCGAACCTTGGCTCAGTTGGCGTTTCTGTGTGGAGTTTGCATGTTCTCCCTGCCTTCGCATGGGTTTCCTCCTGGTGCTCCGGTTTCCCCCACAGTCCAAAGACATGCGGTATAGGTGAATTGGGTAGGCTAAATTGTCCATAGTGTATGAGTGTCTGTGTGAATGTGTGTGTGAATGTTTCCCAGAGATGGGTTATGGCTGGAAGGCCATCTGCTGCGTAAAAACTTGCTGGATAAGTTGGCGGTTCATTCCGCTGTGGCGACCCCGGATTAATAAAGGGACTAAGCCGACAAGAAAATGAATGAATATATATATATATATATATATATATATATATATATATATATATATATATATATATATATATATATATATATATATATATATATGTATTTAAAACTATTTTTTTAATTTTGAGTTGAAAAGGTGCAGAATTCGTAGAATGACCAACTCAGTCCAGCATTTCTGATTAAAAGTAACATATCCTGATGTTTCAAACATGTCTATATTGGATTTGAAATTCACACAACACAACAACTGAGCCTCAACGCAAAGCTGGCACACATATTGAACGACAAGAGGCACAAACTGTAAATATCAACAAGCTCGAGCAGCAGCACTGCAAGAATATCTGCCATGTGTGAAATACAGATTCACCACAAATGATAAATGCATGTCATATTTGCATAAACACTCACACTCCGAAAGCAAATACATTACTTGGTGTCATGCAAAGGTAAAATGAGCAAGTAAATAGCAAACAAACTCATTTCCTTGCTTTTATTCCTGTTTCCAATCATATACAGCAGCATTTTTCTTCTGTACCGATGAAGCTTGACTAAGCAGTATTTGTGGTGCCACGCAGCACTGGTGTGTCACTGACGTAATGAAGCTCAGCCTGGGTTAATGTTCCTGCCTGTCTCTGTGTGTCACTGGAGTAAAGAGAGTGACTCACACACACACACACACACACACACACACACACACACACACACATCCGCTCCGGACAAATCAACCTTATTGTTGGCAGCGATTCAAAGCTCTGAAACTATCATTGCCAATGAAGCCCTGCCATCCCTTCTGAAGTCTCCTTTGATGAGCTCTCACAAATCAGGTCTCAACAAAAACATTTTCTGCTAGTTCTGGTTCAGATTAGCGATTTATCCAGGTGATTATTTTACTTGCCATACCAAGGAATTGAATGTGTTGTCTTTTATACATGTCTTTACATACAAACATAGAATTTTCATTCTTTTTTGCTTACATCTATACATTTCTATATAAGACACATTTAAAATATTAGTGGGTTTTCTTTAGAAAAAAAAAAAGATGCACTGTGAATTAGTGCAATGTGAATTTACAATAACAGTTGGAAAATTGTGTCACTGTTGGACTTAGAGAAACTTGTTTATGCTGTTATCACTAACGGGGAGTATTACTGTAATGGACTCCTCACTGGCCTTCCCAAAAAGAAAATCAGACAGAACGCTGCAGCCAGAATTCTGACCAGAACCAAATAATCCAAGCACATCACACCTGTCCTCAGGTCTTTACACTGGCTCCCAGTTACATTTAGAAAACATTTTAAAAAATTACTTGTCTATAAATCCCTAAATAGCCTAGGACCTCAATACATTACAGATATGCTCACTGAATACAAACCTAAAAGATCAGTTAGAAATTCCAAGATTTAAACATTTTTAGAAAGATTTCTTTCAAAGCAGGGTGAATCGGCCTTCAGCTACTACTGAAATCAGCTTCCAGAAATGAGCTCCAACATTAGGAACATTTAAATCAAGACTTAAAACATCTGTTTAGCTGTGCTTTTACTGAATGAGCACTGTGCTATGTCCGACAGATCACACTAATATGTATCTCTTTTATTTTTCCTTCCTTTAAAACCTGTTTAAACACATTTTAATATGTTTTAAATAATTTTTAAATGCTTTTGATTTTTTTCTTCTATTCCTGTTTATGGCAAGTACTTTGAATTACAACTGTGTATGAAATGTGCTATATAAATAAACCTACCTTGCCATACTGTTTTTATGTGTCAGAAAAAAATATTTTTTTATTGTAATATTATATAAATGAAGAGTTCACATGTAAAAAACTAAACTAAAAAGTGGTGTCTGAAATTTTTTTCTAAAATGAGCATTTTTCTTAGGTTCCTAAGTTTAAATTTCTGTAATTCTTCTTTTAAAGCAACTATTGGATTAAAAAAAGTCAGCATGAACCAGAAGCTGCCACCTTTTTTGTATTCTGACGCAGTTCCTAGAGAAAGAGAATATTAAACGAGCAAAAAGTGGATGTGGCTTGTTTTTTTCTACTGCAAGCTGATTGGATGTAATAAAGTAGGCATTTAAATTTTAGATTACAAAGGCAAACAATTTTTTTTCTTAATATCATGCATAGATTAATAGTTCATCATAAAACTAGCAATGTGAGCCAACAAGGTTTATATCCACCTATATTATGCGCATTGTGGATATGCGCATAAAAACACGATGGATGTTGATGATAACGCCATTAAGCGCTTAAGTTTTGAAATTTGCATAAAAACATGCACATAACTGAGCAGAATATACTTTTTATTCAATAAGAAAAGATGTTCATAAACTACGATGGAAACACTTTTACTGAACAAATTCCAGTATGCGCATTAAAAAAAGTCTAGGTATTTTGTTATAAGAGACCATGTGATGATAAAAATCTGTGTAGATGGACAAATCAGCAGGCTGAGCACATGGTAAAACATCTGAAATGTTGTTTTGGTCATTCTTAACAATTTCTTTAACCAATTTCTTTTTTCCTTAACCTTCTCCACCAATCAGATTGGCACTTTTGTTCAGGTGCACGGAGCTGCTGAAGTTAAAGTAAACAGCACTTGGAAATGCAAAACTGTCAATGAGATCGTTGAGAACATTGAAGAAGATGCCCAGAGGCCATATGAACATTGAGTTGCTTATTGCACTGATGAACAATAATCATTTCTTCATTGCTAGAGCTGGAGCTGCTGCTTGAACCATCCATGCTTGCTCGATTCGCCAGTAACTTTAACAACAAGCATGTCAACTTTCTCTCCTCTTTTTCTTCTTCTATGTAAGAAGCGGGTGTCAGAAGCTTAAAGTTGTGTGGCAGCATCTAACATCAAGGAGTGATTTTGCATACTCTTCTGCTTGATGCCAGTAAAAATCGCTTAAGTTTGAATCCGGAAAAACGTCTCGAAAAACGCTGACAATGAACGCAAATGAAAAGCGTCCTGGTGTGTATGAGCCTTTAGTGTTATCATATTATTAATTTTCTATAAAACTGTCAAGAGAGTCTATGTTCTGCGTCTTATGCCTCAAACACCACCACGCGTTCATTGCACGTTGGCATTTGTCTTCTAAGGCGCAAGTCATTTATTAAATAAAAAAAAAGATTCACGCAGCTTCTACTGACACAGCAAATTCTGTTTTTACTGTAGATATTTGTCTCAAAGTTAATCAGGAAGTGATGATTTCGTACTCTTTGACTCTTTGGATGGAAACGCTGCTTTATTCGCAAGTCTTTGATGTGATAATCCAGTTTTGCGTATAAATTTAATTCGCATCTTTGGATGGAAACATAGCTAATATAGTTAGTTTTGAATTTTGTTGCGTATTTTAACATAAAACAACTGAAATATAGGAGGCAAAGAAATGCAAATTTTAGGAGTAAATTTCAGACGGCACTTAGAAGTTTTTGAATCTGAACTTGTCAATTATTTTTCTCAGCAAAATTATGTTTTTCTTTATGCAGAATGTTATAATAAATGTATTAGCTATTAATACAACAAAAATTCCATTTTCAATATTAATTCTAAAAAATAGTATGTTTAAAACTCATAAGTGAAGTTTATTTATGAACTAATTTCGAAAGGGTTCACGTGCTTATGATTGCTTGCAGCCAGTCCTGCATTATTCAATTTATTATTCACCAATCAGATGATTCCTAAGCCACTATAAATACCCTAAGTTCCATATAACAGCCATCTTCATTTTGAAGAATTCTCCCTTCCACCCCTACTTCTCCCTTCCTCAATGGATGGCATGGTGGCCCAGTGGTTGGCACTGTTGCCTCACAGCAAGAACGTCACTGGTTTTAGTCTTTATAAAGCCAACCGACTTTTCTGTGTGAAGTTTGCACATTCTCTCTATGCTCACGAGGGTTTCCCCCGGGTTCCCTGGTTTCCTCCCACCGCCCAAAAACATGCAATTTAAGGTTATTGACTAATCCAAATTGGCACTATAGACATGCATCTAGTAGGTAGTTATCTTTTAAGAGCAATCATTAACTGTTCATTAGCTACTACAGCAGGGGAGTTCTTTTCCTATAATTTATCAAAGATTTTGAACTAAAGAAAAATGATGCTCAAAATTTCTAAGCAAAATCCACAGAAATGAACACATTTAATTACGATCAATGTGCCACAGAAAACCGAGCATCTACTGTTTGTTTGCAAGGCCTTAAATCATAAGCATCAGCCTGTACTCACTGCAAAGTGCAATAATGTGGCTGCTGTCTTCATGGACAAACTTCTTGGTCACCGCCTCCTCCATAATCTGCTTCACCTAGACATGGAAAGACACACAATTAGGAGCAGCACAGACTGGCAAATAAAATAAATATTAAATAATGACAAGTCAAAATTGCTTCTGCGCATTGCAATCGGGTGTACAAAAGCAACTAATTAATCACGACAGCGTAACCACAAATGCTTTAATTAGCATCATTCAATTGATAAGTTTCCCTGGGAGTGCAAGGAACTGTGCAGAACAAGACTTTGTCACATTTTTTTCTCCTCCAACTGTCAGCAAATCCCAGACTAATTAATCACAATCGTTGCGGGCGGCTTTATACTGTTTGTGTAATTTGAAGAACAGCAGAAGGGTAATTGTAGCAATGAGAAGGAGTAAATTATGGGCATCTGCTGATTACGGCCATGACTTGTATGCACCCCATTGCCACAAGGCCAACAGACGGCAAAAGAAAACCGATTTCAAGGCTGATACCCAGAGCTGCAGTCCTTGGGATCGAATAAAGAAGCAATAAAGTTGAAGCCAGTTCACTACAGCAGCCTGTTGTATTACATAACACATCTCGAAAGACACAAGAACGGTTGAGCACTTGAATGAAACCAATAAATTATAAACGTTTTTAATGCAACCCAGGGCTACTGCTCCATATTGTGATTCAAATGACAGTAAAAACCCATTTCCAGTCAAGCTGACAGCGGTAACAATAGCGCTAATGAAGTCATCACTCAAGGATTGTTACGCTGAAAGGCAGTCCAGACACACACACACACACACACACGCACACAAACACACACACACACACACACACACACACACACACACACACACACACACACACACACACACACACACACACACACACACACACACACACACTCACACACTCACAATATATATGGGAACAGATATTTTCACAATACGCTCAGTGTTTAGCACTGATAAATACTAGGGCACAGTACAAAACCCAGCTTTTCACTTTTAGTTGAGGAAATGGAGGTGGAACTCTTTTAAACTCTTTCACAACTTGTTCTTATATAGCAGATTTTAACATTTTAAATAGGTCAAACTAGGGTGAGGCAGTGGCGCAGTAGGTAGTGCTGTCGCCTCACAGCAAGAAGGTCGCTGGTTCGAACCTCAGCTCAGTTGGCATTTCTGTGTGGAGTTTGCATGTTCTCCTTGCCTTCGTGTGGGTTTCCTCTGAAAAATTAAATAATTAGGCATAAGTAATTAGTAATTCTGTGTGATATATTTAGTTGTTTTAACTCACACTTTAGTATAGTTTGAACACAGAGATTGTGAGATGTTTATCCATGTTTATTTTGTGCTATAACTTGTAGTAAAGAGGAATAAATAATCACTACTCATGTTCTGCTTTGAAGTTTAAAACAAAGGCCAGCGTACAACTGCATTTTATGCTCTACTGGACCCCAAAGGGCAGCATTGGGTTTTGACATTTACAGGACACTTCCTCTTAAGCCTGGGACACACCTAGCAGACATCAGTAAACTAGGATTGATGAAAACTGAATGGCAAAAACTGATTGTCGCCACAAGTCGGCTGTGTCATGTTCTGTCTGGAACAAAAAGATGCATGTGAACATCAAATAAACGACATGAAACTAGAATATACAGGGGTTGGACAATGAAACTGAAATGCCTGGTTTTAGACCACAATAGTTAATTAGTATGGTCTAGGGCCTTCTCTCGCAGCAAACACAGCATCAATTTGTCTTGGGAATGACACATACAAGTCCTGCACAGTGGCCGGAGGAATTTTGAGCTATTTTACTTGCAGAATAGTGGAACCTGGACATGCTTTTTAGAAAGCTTCCTCTTGTTGTTCATCCTAGGTGGTATGCTGACACTACCATTGATTCCGTGGCTCTCGATCAAAGATGCTCTAGCGAGATGGACACCAACCATTTGTCCTCTTTTGAACTCTAATATGTCACCCATTATTCTATGTACAGTGCAATATTTTAAGCAAAACTGTGCTATTCCTCTTCTAATTAAACCTTCACACTCTGCTCTTACAAGTTAAAAGTGCAGTCAATGAAGATTGGTCACCAAGCTTGTTAAATTTAGCCATGAACGTTCCAACACTAAAATGGCCAATGTTTTAGTTCCATTGTCCAACCCTTGTATGTTCTGCGACTGCATGAGAGGACGTATCTTTACATACCCACAGGCGGCGGTATCTGTGTTGCCATTTCAATAAGGGAAATCTGAACTAATGCTGCTGCACACCACAGTACTTCTCAGTACTTCTCGCTCACCACAGAGAGATTCACTCATGCAAATATGTCTTATAATCTAATAATTGTTTGAGATAATTTAAGAGATGCAACAAGCTGCTTCTTTGTATTTTCTCTTGACTTGGGTCATTTGCTCAGTTTTATCATTTTTGGTTCTTGCATTCTGATTTGCAGCTAAACAGCCAATTAGAGTGCTTTCTTTTACCCAATGCCGGATGCCCAATGGCCAGCTTGATGTGTCCTGGCATTAAAGGATATACGGAGAACAATAGATTTTCCATTTGAATGTTCTTCAGAACAAGTCGATCATCAACTTTGCTTTCAACTGAGTTTTTTTTTTGCCTTCTGTTGCAGCATGTTGTGCATCTTTCTTCCGCTCCATTTTTTACTATTGTAATGTACTTGTAAGGTGCTTCAGGTACTGCCACCTAGTGAACACTTCTGTCTCAGCATTCACTTTGGACATTGTTTCTGAGTGGAGACAAAATATTTCCCAGCATGTTGTAGAGCCAGATGTTAGCAGACACTAAAGATGTCATAATGAACTGGGCTTATTTGATCACACATTCCCAGAGAATGAAAAAATACCTGTATATCTGAGGGGCCCCAGATATTTCACACTCATTTTCTGCCATATGCAAAACAGTGTTTGAGAAGCTTTCAAAGTTTAATAAACCACAAATGAGTGTTGACGGATGAGCACAGTAACCATATCTCAATCCAATAGAGCACCTTTGGGACGTGGTTGAACAGGAGATTTGCACCATTGATGTGCAGCCAACAAATCTGCAGCAACTGCGTGATGCTATCATGTCAGTATGGACCAAAATCTCTGATGAATGTTTCAGTAGCTTGTTGAATCTATGCTACGAATGATTAAGTCAGTTCTGAAGGCAAAAGGGGCTCCAACCTGTTACTAGTAAGGTGTACCTAATAAAGTGGCTTGTGAGTGTATATACCTAGTATTCAATATAAAATTTATATATATATATATATATATATATATATATATATATATATATATATATATATATATATATATATATATATATATATTTCCAATTTAAAAGATGTTACAAAGCAAGTCCATAAAGAAGCAAAGGCACTATTTAAGCTCTGAGTGATCAAAAATCTACTGAATATTAAATAGATCACTGCAAGACGCTGGAACATTGCTCAATGCAGCCAATAAATAGTGATGGGCAAACAGAAGAGAACAGGAAAATCAAACTAAGTTGTTTTGCTCTTGTGGGAGCCATTTGTGACAATCCCTGCTTCATGCAGCTGTATTAATCGTCCACTGATGCAATTTAACTTCTTAGGTAGCTGCTGATGCTTTCAGTTCCTAGGCAACCAGAAGGCGGCTGACTGCAGCTTAAAGTGACAGAGACCTGGGATATTACACAAAGAAAGTGAATGGAGGAATAAAAATCTCATTCCGTGTGGATTGAAGCAGGGAGGTTATTTCCTGAAGGCGCTGCAAATAGCAAAACAGCACATGCTTTTGGGGGCAATTACATTCAGATATTTTCTCATTAGCTGTAAAAAACAACTGATGCCTCGGCCAGATATAGATTTCTTTTTAAATATGTCTATCTGCTTCACATAGAGCATAGAAAGTGGAATTCCTGGCAGGAAATACATGATTATGGTCACTGGAAATCAATGTTAACTTGTTTTTATTTTGGTTAAAAGAGGTCCAGGACATCTTTGTAAAGGAAGTGACTCATTTATAAGTAAAAGATAGGAGATTTGACTGAATGTGACACACAAAAGTCCTTTAAAACTTGATGAATGAGATGATGTTAAAAGATTGATTTCCTTATTAACCCTGGCTACCTGAGGCCGGATACCTTATGGATTATCACATGCATGATTTTTAGCCTCCGTTAGACACGTCCTTAACCATCTTGAGAAATGATGTCTGCCGGGAGGATTGTGCGTTCAGTTCAAGAGGCTGAATCAGCTCTGTGGACACAGTCTGTTCTGACACATAAGACATCCCGGTACCAATTTAGGACGCCTATTCTTTGCAGCAATTCATTTAAGACTTCTATTATTCATGAGAGCTGGGTTTAAAACTAGCCTTCTCTGCACTGTAAGGGAAAAGATAAGAATTAATTATACTGATATAAAAGAATGTAACAGCTTCTTCCACTTTACAGTTCCTGGAGCTAAAACGTCGGAAACTGTATGCAAATGAGGAAGTCTTATCAAATAATTATTACAAAATGTGTTCAAGAACAGTTCATTCATGTTATTTTAAAGCAATTGGTACCAAAAAATAATTTACCAATTGCTTTAAAATAATATGATATAATTTAATCAAAATAATATATATTTTATTCTTTTTTCTGAACGGATGTTTTACTGTATTTTACAAGGTTGTATGAATACTTGAATCTGATTGGTCAACCACAGCACTGTGGGCAAATAGTTGTATAATGACTTGGCTATAGATATTTCACCATGGCAACATGCTGTAGTTAAGATACCCTTGATTTGTTATCTTTAAAATAAACGACTATTGATTTCAGTTCAGTGTGGTCTTTGTTCACTAAATGATCCTGTGAATTATTACATTGCACTTTTATTTTTTTATTCAAATGCTTAAATAAAAAATAAATAAATAAATAAATAAATAAATAAATATTCCTAAATTATTTCATTGCACATTCAGTTTTTTAAAGAATCTTCCACTGAACAGACCCTAAAAGAACCACCTTTTCATTAGTGTGAAGAACATTTACAGAGGTTTTATTCTCTGAAAAAAATAATAAAGTTCTGTGTTGAAATCGATGGCAAATAAAATAAAGCTTCTACAAGGCTATTGATGAAAACTTTTACTGTCTCTGATCCTTCTGATTGTACAAAATATTTGTACATTATATTTTGTTATTTTAGGAGAAGCGTATGCTATTAAATTGTAATTACTAATCTAATCAGAATGCTTTGCCAGGATGAGTCGCCAAGTACAAGTACGTCAGTCGGGTTCTGCTAACCATACAGGATTTCAGTCTTGCGCCTATATTAATGTGTGTGTGTGTATATATATATATATATATATATATATATATATATATATATATATATATATATATATATATATATATATAGTTGAAGTCAGAATTATTAGCCTTCCTGATTGTTGAGCCCCCCGAGAGACTGTCCTAACACATTTCTAATCATGATTCTAAACTCATTTCCAATAACTGATTTATTTTATCTTTGCCATGATAACAGTAAATAATATTTGACTAGATATTTTTCAAGACACTTCTATACAGCTTAAAGTGAAATTTAAAGGCTTAACTAGGTTAATTAGATTAACTAGGCAGGTTAGAGTAATTAGGAAAGTTATTGTATAGCAATAGTTTGTTCTGTAGACTATTAAAAAAATATATTGCTTAAAGGGGCAAATAAATTTGACCTTATGGACTTAAAAAAAAGAAAACTGCTTTTATTCTAGTCGAAATCTAGTCGAAAATATTATCAGACATACTGTGAAAATTTCCTTGCTCTGTTAAAAAAAAAACCCAAAGGGCGGGCTAATAATTATGACTTCAACTGTAAATATTATATGGACTTGGGCGTGTTACCATTTGGGTTCTTTAGATCATAAATATTACAAAATGAATATGTTTTACATTAAGAAAATAGAGGTTGATTTAAAAACTGTAAAATAAAGTTATCTAAAAAAATAATATTATTTTATAGCATTGCTGGAAACTATATTTTGTAAGAGTCTGGGTTCTTTATAAAATAATTATTAGCTTAATTCTAATTAGCAGCCCAATTTTATTGCTTTGATTACATTTATAATATGAAAGCATGGTCAGTTCAACATGTGGTGTGTATGAACCAATGACGCCCATATAGCTACTAAAATACAGGTATAAATTGAGAGTGGTAACTTATTTGGCATGAAAATTAAGTAACACTTCTATTTCCACATAATAAAGTTATCTGTAACCAGTCTCTGCAGGTGAAAAGGAACAAAAATCAAAACATTATTCAAGCAGATAAGATGCAAAAGCATCGATCTCTCTTAATCAGTCAGATTATAAAGTAGCGCTCTTTCTCTTCCAGTCGCGTTATAAATAAAGCTCGCGTGCTTTGAGCGCTCAGCCCCTCAACTAGTCAATGGAAATTCGATGTCAACTCGTTTTTGTTTACATTGCAACAGGCTAGGAACATATTTGACTCTAAAAACGCATCCGTTCAAGCGTTTACGCTGCATTTATCCATCTGCACAAAGCGTAATCTATCGATCACCTCAGACACCATCGATTACGAATCACGGTCCCCCATATAGCCATATTAAGTTACAGGCGGATGAGGAAGGAAACGAAATACCCAAGCCCTTCGGCTCTACAGGTGAAAGTAAATCTATTAAAAATACATGGAAACTCACAACGAGCACTCGTTATACATTAATCCACATTAACCATCGGAAAAACTTCCATATGCATGCACTTAATTCGGAAGCACATTGTAAAGAGAAAGCATGCATCCGTGCAAGAATATCCCTATCATGCAAAACTAAGATGAATAAATCCCACTTACTTCTCTTTTGACGTTCCATAGTAATTTCTCCTTAAATTCTTCATCTGTAGTCGAACCCATTGTCCCTGACTGTTAAACAACCCAGGTGCAGCATAAACCGGCTGGAGACATAAATCTGAAAGGCTCGCCTGCCCTTCTGCCAGTATATCTTTTTTTTCCCTAGCCTTCCTTCCTTTTCATATAAACGTGTGTACTGACAGCTGAGCGTTGACGCATCTGAGCACTGCCGTAGCGCATCGTGAAGCCATCTTCGGTTCCTTTATGACGCAATCGCCGCTGTCCCCGCCCCCTCGGCATTGTTGATCAATGGGATAAATCTCTTCACGCGCCGTACGCTCTTCAGGCGGTGACGGCGATTTATTTTTAGCTCCTCTCCACATTTGACAGCTCGGATGGAGGCGCTTGTGCTGGTTCAACTAATCAGGCATTGTCATTAGGCGTTCACCAGACGTGATGTTTGGTGTGACCTATTAAAGGTAAAAGACGAGTAAGTTGCGTGGTTGTTGTAGTCTCGCATCCTATTATGGCAAGGCACATCTGGGCTTTACCTATAATGGCACAGGTGCATCCAGAGGGAAAAAAACTGAACAAATTATAGATAGCTTTATTTTAGAAACAAGGTGTGATATATAATTTGGCTTATAATGTTCCTGTCAGTGTTACTGTGTGGGACATTCTACCAGAAACCTACATCATCTATCCCTGAAATAAAGACATAAATACAGTTAATATAAAATATTTTATCCCAAAATGTTTATAATAGACTGATGGTTGATTTCTGTGAGTTGTTCTGTATAGAAATATGTCATTCATTTTGGCTCTCAGATTTTTTTCTTTATTAAAAATCCTTTACACATTTACAAACCCTGTCATTGTCCTTGTTCCAATCGAACCTTCAGCTTAATAGTTTTGCTATTCTAAAAACTGTTATTTAGAAGAAAATAAAATTAGAAATAGCAAGTTTAATGTGCACATCAAATGATTAAAAACTCTAGAAATAAAAACTTTAAATATATAATACAAATAAATTCACAATTGTTTTGGTCAGTGCTGTCACATTTGCATTAAATTGAACATAAAATGTGTTTTAAAGCCTTTGACTTATTAAGGAAGTGACACCATTTGATGGGGAAGACGCTGACAGTGATCAAGGATGCTTGACCTGTTAATAGAAAATAAAGAATGTAATTTCCTGATAAATGGTAAAAATTTATTTGACAAAAAAAATGTAAGGCAAGTATTTAATGACAAAAATAGAGCTATTCCAAGAGGGAAATTTTATTGGAATATGGGAGGTTAATTGTAGAAAAGCATGGCTGCTACCATACAAATTTAGCATTTTAAATAAACTAAGAGAAATTCATTCAAAGATTTTACATTAAATATATCCAACTAACGTGTTACTTTCCAAATGTTCAAATATTGAGAAAGAATGTTCATTTTGTAAACACAACGAGGAATCCTTATGTCACTTATTTGTTGATTGTCAGAGTGTGCAATTATTTTGGACTGTGTTTCTAATTATTCTGTTAAAAATATTGTTGATAACATTGAATGCAAAAGAAATGATTTGTTATTAACAATTTTTGTTAATTTTATTATTTTAAATGGTAAATTATTTATCCAAAAATGTAGACAAAAATCCCCTCCTTTATACAAGGTATTTGTCAATGAACTTATATCGTAAATGAAGTCTCTCAAAGTTGTAACAAATGTAAAAGTTCTGTCTATTGTAAGCTATTATGAATCTGTTTTTGGCGTCTTGTGAATGTCTTCCATTTGTTTTTGTTTTGTTTTTAAAAAATTTTTTATCTGAATTTCAATTATCTTCAGAATTTTTTGTCAGCTGTTTTTGCAAACTACTAATGCACCAAAAATACAAAAACAAAAGTGTTTAAGGATGCGTATAAGTCAGGCCCTCAGGGGTGGGGTGGGGGGCTTTTGCCTGGTGATTTCCAAAAATCGTTTTATTTTTATTAAACCATAAGAATTACCATATTTTATCCATAAACTACAGAAGAGAAAAAAAGCCGTTTATAGTTACTATTTACTATATAGTTACTATAGAAGCTTATAGTTACTAGTTCTATTGGATTGCGATCCCTGGGGTAATTACATTATATTAAAGACACAGCAATAGCTTCAGATGCAGCAGATTGATTTTATAACACCAGGTTAAACTTTCTGGCCCATTTACAGCACTGACATACACACATTTAAAAAAAAAAAAAAAAAGAATAGTGTGCCACTGCATGCAAGGTTTCTGTATTTATAACCACCTCAGAGGATATTGGGGGTCGCGAGTCACTGGCATTGTCATTTTAGGGGTCGCGGGCTGAAAAGTTTGGGAATCGCTGGTGTAAACTACTAATGATATTTCCTTCCAAAAATTGTCATTTAGATACCTTTTTTGCATTAAATAACAAAAAAAGAAAAGGGTTTAATGACTTCAGACATAATTATAGACAACACAATTAACAATATATCTTATGAACAAAAAAAGTTGCTCTAAACTGATAATTTTAGATCTTGAAGAATGTTAAAATATTTATAAACGAACTGAAGATAACTTGTAAGTGTTAAAAAAAATGGAGAAGGAAACTTCTGGGTCTCGTTCAGTCATTCATTCAAAAACACATTCTGAGGGCATCACATTGTCACACTCTTAAAATCATACACTGCAATTATTTCCCCAAATGTAACACACCCAATACCATATAATATACACACTAATCATCTTAAAATCACAGTAAGGATGATTAATATAGGCATAATGCAAGATTGAAATGTAGTATATGATCCTGTATGGTTAGTAGAACTCAACTGATGTACTTGGCAGACTCATCCTGGCAAAACATTCTCTGATTAGATTAGTAATCACAATTTAATAACAAACTTTTCTCCTAAAATAACAAAAAATGAGGTAAATAAGTTAAAATTTAGGAACTGATGCGAATTCATGATCATCCTTGTTTTGTTATGTTCACGCAAAGTTCAAGCAGCATTTCATCAAAAGCTTTGATTGTCAAGCTCCCTACGATATAAAAAAAGGAAAAAGAGATAAATAAAAAAAGCTGTAATCTGTTCCGGTAGTGAAGTTAAAGAGTGGTTAAACTGTGCTTGAGATCTAGTGTTCTCCACAGATCTACAAAAGAGGCACTGGTTAAAAGGATATATTTATAAAGTGTCTTGGAAGCCTCACAGTTGGGCTAATGTCCAAGTGGTCTGTCGTCATATGTGCTGTATCGTTTAATGTGGATGCGGCGCACACGCTCTCTCAGCTCCACGGCCTCCTCCTCTTCACTGTGGGAGCAGCAATTGGTGCGTCTGCGGGTGGCTTCTAGCAGAGAGTAATCTGGGATGGGGAGAGTCTCATAGAGCAAGGCGTTTAGCGTCTCCTCGTAGATTCGTGCTTCTGGAAACTCAACCTGAGGGGATTACAAGAGTTCCTCTTAGACATCTTCATCTACGTAAAGCCGCTTTGACACCGTCTAAATTGTAAAGACGCTATAGCAAAACAAAGGTGACTTGACAAATGAACTGGTGAGAAAATGAACGGTGTATACACAGGAAACAGAGAGTGAAATTAAATACATTTTAAGACCTTTTAAAGACTCTTTCCACACATTTTAAGACCTCATCCCCACTTTTGATTTAAACCGCTAACAATGGCAACATTTTAACTTGCAGTATATTTAACACAATCGCACAACAATTCGTAACTTTTTGATTTAGTGGCTAATTCATATGAATTAGTTTGATCTAATTCGTACAATTTGGTATGATTTGCCTCCTTTTTACAATGGTACATTTTCGTGAAACTTGTACGAATTAGCCACTAAACTGACAAAACGTAAAATACTTACGTTTCCTCATGAGATTAGGCAGGTATATTTGCTAAATACGGATTGTAAGAAAAGAATAATCCAAAACTAAACCATTATTTATATACAAATAAAAATGCTAATAAGCAGGTGGCGCGTACAGTAAACGAGACAGTGTGATGTCATATCAAGCAGGATTTTATCGATTTTATAAACAACATCCCGATATTCGCAGATTGAATTCATGCAAGCTTTAGTATACAACTATCGCAGGGCTCGAAATTGCAACCATTTTGGTCGCATATGCGCCCGAAATTTTATCTATGCAACCTCAAAATATATTTGGGAGCATTTGTGCGACTGCATAAAATTGTTGAGTGTGACCAGTTTTTACTGCAAAATGTTCACCACATGCGCGGATTCGGGAGATATTCACACAGAATGCATCTCTAAGCTCTTTGTCTGCACTTGAAACACGAAACGCAACACTCAGGAATGGTTTAAAACAGTTGTCATGTCAACATGCTGCAGTAAACAAAGCCAAGTCCGTAATGCTTGCCCCGCCTTCGCGCTCTTCTTATTGGCCCACCACTGCTCTAGCACTGAAATATCAGCTGTTAATCACTCAGTCAATGCCTTCTGGCTTGGGGTGACAGAGAGAGCTACTACCGGGAAAAATTGTAAAGTGCTAAAGATGAGAATGAAGATAAAACTGACAGATTTTCTTTTAGAAACGATGCCATCTAAAGTTAGTGACCATGTGCTGAATGTTAATCCACCGTCTACACTTTTCAAAGAGTGGATAAAAGACTTCCATTGGGTTCAATTTCGCTATGAAAAGTCTGTGGGATGGAATTTTCAGGTAACTGTTGGCCACATCTAGCATGAGAGCTTCTGTTTGATTCATCATAGAATCGCCAGATGCTGTCCACTGTGCAAGTGGCTGCTATATGTCAAATTTAACACCACGTACACCATCGCAAACAGGTTTGCACTGAGTAAACTAACATCGCTATTCATAAAAAGACCGGTATTGCTATTAACATGACGTATGCATATAATAAGGTACAGTATGTCAAAAGCATCAGTGCAATATCAGACAGCACCCGTTAGAACAGCACAGTCATACCGTTAACAGATTCAATCATGTCAAGCAGTGCGTGCAGGGCCGGTGAGCGGTCCGTGTATGCTTTAGTCACTCAGTTACGTTATAAAAATGTATTTTCTTGTGATACCGGGATTTCGTACAGACATATTTTCCTTACGCTTGCATATATATATGTATTTTTGCTTGTTAGTTTGATTAGTGTTGATTTCAAATGCAATAAATATGTTTGTATAAAATTTGTAGTAACGGTGCTTATAATGGGTGTGCGCGACTAAATTTTGGCTGATGTGCCTAAATTTTCAAAGTTAGGAGCACTGGTGCTACCAAGCAAAAAGGTTAATTTCGAGCCCTGTATAGATTGTATAATCAAAACTGATACAAATTGTAATCATTTTAAAATAGCATTTAAGATTTTTAAAGGCCTTATACTTCTCTAAATTGACTTATCAATTAAAAAAATTTTTTTTTTAGAGCCCGCATACACACCGTGTAAAAACCATAAACTGTACAATATATCGACTTAGTATCCGTGACGTCACCCATTGGTTTCTGAACACTGCAAAAGAAGCCACAAGTAGGCGAAGCCACCTGTCGCCATTTTGTTAGCGCGTCATCACACCCACGTCGGGATGCCAAACAAGGGCAAAGAGGCGGAGAATGAGCAGAACTACAGACACCTGCAGGCATTTTGCTTGGATCTGGCTTAGACAGACGTTACTTTGGGAAAACGCTTAATACTTTATCACCTGTGACTTGTTTGTGTTCTGACCACATGTACTTGGTTGTACACTATATCAATAAAGTGTTTAGTCTTTTAAAAACACTGCTGTAATACACTGAGGAATAAAGCATTGTTCTTATGACATATTTCTACAGGAGAAAAACGCAAATGACTTCCAAACACTTCAGATATAGTCTGTGTTAGTAATAGCAAGGCTATTGATAAAATCCAGCATAACACTGTATGACAAGGCTTTAGATGACTGTTCTAGAGGCTACAGCTAATCAATCTGCCAGATTTGGGAGTGCTTTACAGCTCTAAACAAAAATATAAATGATAAATGATCTTAAATAAAACAAATACATGTATAGAGATGGTATAAATGTATATAATTTTACTCACATAGGAAACAGAGACCACGTGAATGGTTTGTGAGCACAATTAAGTGCACAAGGCATCCCATATTATCTGATAATTGTAAGAAATAATTCCAAAAGGAAACTGTGTAAAGCCACATAAAACAACACAAAAATATGATGTTTATGCCGAGTTCAGTGGCTAATCTGCCGGAGTCAGCTGAGGTGAAATGACGGTGAACAGCGAGACCTAGCTGTCACTCAAGTGGCCACGCCCTTAATTATGCAAACTTAATATAGCCTAATATAAAGGAAACGGATTAGTTATAAAAAAATTCAGCCCCCTCACAGTTGTCATGAAGGGCAATATGAGCTATATGAACCAAAATCGTTTCTTGTATGAGGATGTAAACACCTTTTTTTTCTGCTGTGAAGCTGGCCATTGTAACAGTGGGCTCAAATGAAATTTGCTCTATTATGGAGCCAGGACTAGCAGAATTTCGATGAATTGCATTTTCAGTTACTTTTGTATTGGCTTCCCAAGGGAGAGCGTGAGGTTGCCGCTTGGTAAAAAAACAGAATGCTCTTCAACGGTTCCCATTGTAATACAAATTTACAGTCTTCACTCATGTTCATATATTCTAACTTAGGGGTGTCCAAACTCTTTTTTGGAGGGCCGGTGTCCTGCAAAGTTTAGTTCCAACCCCAATCATTCACACATGGACTAGCTAATCAAGCTCTTACTAGGCTTTCCTAGAAATATCTTGCAGGTGTGTTGAGGCAAGCCAGAGCTAAAATCTGCAGGACACTGGCCCTCTAGGACAGAATTTTGACATCTCTGCTCTAACTCATCCATTATAGCTTTATCAATTAATCATAATAATAAATTAATTAAGCCTGCAGTAATTAATAAAAAAAAAGACATTTGACTACAAATGAGATTTTGAAAAAAGAGCCGTTTCATTCTCCTCAAACAGCAGTTCTCCAGCAGTGCTATTGAACAGTGTTTGTTTCAATAGATAAAGTTTTGTGAAAGATTTATTTCTTGTATAAAGTCATTAAAGGCATAGTTCACCCAAAAATGAAGATGTACTCAGTATTTTCTTACCCTCAAGTGATTCCAAACCTTTATGGTTTTTTTTTTATTCTGTTGAACAAAAAAGATTTTTGAAAAGCTGAAAACTGTCAACATTGACTTCTATAGGAAAAACAAATACTATGCAAGTCAATGGTGACAAGTTTCCAACATTTTTCAAAATATCTTCCTTTTTGTTTAACAGAACAAAACTCAAAAGTGTGTAAAACAAAAATGTGCATGTTAAAACTGTTAAATAGTACAAATACAGTACAAGTAATACATGATGACATAGTAAAGCCTATACAAAGCATACACCTGCTCATCAGAAGAGTGGTCAAAACTAGTCAACCAATATGGGTTTTTTTGAAGGTCGATATTAATATTTGTGGAAAGCAGGATAGCAGATATTCAGCTGATATAATTGTACACATTTTAATTAATAACATCTGAATTCAATTGCAATAAAATTTATTTTAAAATATAAGAAAAAAAATTTTAATTAATAAGATCTTATAGCCAATTCTGATTTTGCAAGATTTGGGAAATGAAATGTTGATTAGTTATTCAAATACTTGTTTAAATAATATAAATATATATCAGCTGAATGGCGATGACGTATAAGAATGCATTGTTTTGCCTTTATTACTAATTAAAGCAGCAATACACATGTATACATTATAATTACTTTGTTTAAAAGTTCTTTGTTATCTGATTATTAGACTAAGACAGAACCGAATGACGACAGCAAACAAAAAGGGAGAACATGAACAGTGTGCTCAGGTGCTGCGGATCTCAGCACTTCAAAATAAAAAGTGCTGTGGATGATATGCAAATGTCACCTATGAAATGTATAGCTGAAATATGCATATACAGTTAATGCAAAATGTGGGGTCACAGTTAAGGGGCTAGAGCAGGGGAGGCCAACCCTGTTCCTGGAGAGCCACATTCCTGCAGATTTCAGTTGCAACAAATATCAAACACACCTGCCTGTAATTATCACATGGTGTTCAGGTCGTAATTAATTGGTTCAGGTGTGTTTGATTTGGGTAGCAACTGAAATCTGCAGGAAGGTGGCTCTCCAGGAACAGTGTTGGCCACCCTTGGGTTAGAGTCCCTCGTCTGATCGACAAAAACGCATCCTAATACCAGGTGTAAACAAGGCCAAAGAGTATCTTACCTTTGTTTGCTTCTTCTCAGTAGCATAAACGATGGATGTGCAGCAGACCTCAGCAAGTTTGCGGTGCTGTCCGTAAAAAGACCAGCAGCAAATTTCATCTCCAATTACATCTTTAATGAAGAGCACACGACCGCTGTAGCTCAGAGACAGCTTCTCAAACAGCTCGATATTCTTGAGCAGGTTGTCATCAGAGTTGCTTTTGAGGAAGATTAAGATCCATCAAAAAAAAAAAGGAATCGAGTCTGTCAAAAAGTGACATTAAAGCATAATCATAGTTACCTTGTATAGGAATATTTGTTATTTCCTCGATTGTATAGAAGCTTTACAACAGGCTGTAAGTAGAAAATAATGATGACATTTAGAAATGTAGCTTATCTTGTTTTTTTTTAAAGATTAAATATTTGCATTTTTGCAAAAGAGTCTCACCCTCACACATGCTTGTATCAGTCTCTCCTCCTCTTTAGGAGATGTTATGACCGGGATTACACACAGAGCCTTTTCCTTATTGTCCTGCAAACCAACAAAAATAAAAATACATAAGCAAGCAACCGACAAAGGTTCAATTTTTTCAATAATATGAATTGACAAACTTGTCAGATAATAACAACATGCAACTAGTTTTATAACCAAAACTGACATTTATAGACAAACCCATTGTGGGCTTCAGGATTTTTAAACAATTGTTTTCATTAACAACTTTGTTAAAACAATCATGTTTAATAAAGGAATTCATGGAATAAAACGACACTACTCATGATGATATTCAAAACTATTCCACCAATTAATAAGAAAAGTGTGCAAAAAGTCCTTCATTCTATCAATTGGCATTTTCCATGCTTCATGGGATTCTTTTCTTTGTGAAAGCCACAGAGTATTTTTCTGATTTTCAAATATTCCTTTGATTCACGTCCAAACAGCTGGATGGTTTGATTTATGGTTTAGAGACCCTTCAGCTTTTTTTCTAACAGTCCCCATTTAACGATTAAAATTATCCCCAACTTGGTTTTTAGCAATGCACTCTTAATGCTCCGGTTGCCATAGAAACACACAGTACAAAAAGACTGGCTGGTCCAGTCTCCATTATATTTTTTTTAACACACCAGTTAAGAATAAGCAACTTGTATAGGACATTTCATGGCAGATTCTGCATTATAATATAATTATTTTATTCAAGCATTTAAAATTTCTCTATCAACGGTTAGACTCTGATTTTTTAAATATTTTAACTTTAATGCCTGGAGGTGCAGCACATTTCTGTGCAGAGCAAACAGACAATGACTTTTAAGCAATGAACTAAATTATTTCTTTCTGCTAAATGCATATGATTTATTTCACATATTAAACATTTTGGAAGCAACATCAGACCTGCTTGATCACATTTGCAATGTCTGGCTGTAAATATAAAATTGTAGTTCATATGCTATATTACAGGCAACGCAGTGGGGCAGTAGTTAGTGCTGTTGCCTCACAGCAAGAAGGTCGCTGCGTTGCAGGTTCGACCTTCTTGCGGGGTCAGTTGCCATTTCATGTTCTCCCTGCATTCGCGTGGGTTTCCTCCGGGTGCTCCGGTTTCCCCCACAGTCCAAAGACATGCAGTATAGGTGAATTGGGTAAGCTAAATTGTCTGTAGTGTGTATGAGTGAATGTTTCCCAGAGATGGGTTGTGGCTGGAAAGGCATCTGCTGCGTAAAAAAATGTGCTGGATAAGTTGGCGGTTCATTGGGTAATTTCAAGCAAATGTAATACTAAAAGTATTTACCAAATGCTGATATTTTCTTACAGTAGTAACCTATATATATATATATTGTAGCGAGTCGGGTAATACCACGTCGCCCCGGGCACAAATCCACACCAGCTGGATCATTCATCAACCCCGGATCGCTCACAGCTGGACCTCATCAGCCAGGGAGAGATATAAGCCAGCCCCACACAGGAAGAAGTGAGCTTCATTTCACATGACTCCCTGCGCTAACGCTTGTCTCTCTCTGTCTCTCCCACAGCCGAATCCAGCTCGTGACCGATCCAACACCATACCTCTCACCAGTCTTCACCTTCTCCCCGGAGCACTTGAGCACGCACCTCTAAGAAGAGCACTCATTCACCCCTTTACCACTTGTAAATAAAAGCACCCTCTGGGGCATTGTTTGTAACTTCATCTACGGTGTTTGTGTTTTCCCTCTGCCTCGCTACAACTGGTGGAGAATGCGGGCATTACAGAGGGAAAAATTCAGAAGAAACACTCAGAAGAAAATAACCGCTGAATTTTTCTTTCTGTTTGTTACAGACAGGCATCCGCTCTCTCTCTCTCTCCCACGCTTCCTCTTACTCGGCTGTCAACATCCCGTCGCCATGTCTTTGGAAGAGGTACTGCTCCACCTAGCGGAGATCTCCAGTAAACAGAATTCCATCTCTGAGCAACTTACAGCCAGACAGGATCGACTGGAACAGCAGCTCCGCCAGGCGGCCAGACACCATCCGACTCCCGAAGTGAGTGCGCATCATCATCTCACTAAACTCAGCGACCTGGATGATATTGACGCTTATTTACATACGTTTGAAGTCATTGCCGAGAGAGAAGGCTGGCCAAATGAAAACTGGGCGAGAATGTTGGCTCCGTTTCTCACAGGAGAAGCGCAACGAGCATATTTTTCACTAGAGACACCTAAAAATGAAGACTACAAAGCGTTAAAAAAGGAGATATTAGCCAGAATGGGGCTATCCACAATCAGCGCAGCCCAACAGTTTTCCCAGTGGTCTTATGACGAGAAACAGCCAGTGAGGACTCAAGCAGCTCAACTTTCTCGCCTGGGAAGGCTATGGTTATTGGGAGGAGATCCTTCGGCGGTCCAGGTCGCTGAGAAGGTGATTATTGAGAAGATGATGCGAGCGTTACCCCGACGTCTGCGAACACTCACCAGCATGCGAAATCCTGAGTCACTGGCCACCCTGGTGGAGGCGATCGAGCTGGCTGAAGGTCACATCGCCAGAGACAATGGGGAGAGAGCGGCTCTGCCACCCCGGAGGGTAAGTGCACCTTGGCGACCGGTGGAGGGCACAGCGCGACCAGGCGGCAGACCAGCGGTCCCCAGCCCGATGGACGAGCCGATGCCCACCGAGCCGACGACGCACTCGACCCCGGCCTGGACAGCAGGGTGCGCGGTACACCGCAATATCCCTCCCGAAGCTCCCACCCATAAAGTCCAGCTAGAGGGAAAAACACAAACGGCCACCTTAGACACAGGAAGCGCCATCACTCTGGTCCACCCGAAAACCTTAAAATACCACCATGAAAGCAAAGGGCAAATTCCAATCACGTGTGTGCATGGGGATACCCGCCACGTACCCGCCCGAAGAGTGACCATCGCGGCGAAACCAGGCAGCTGGCGCATCGAAGTCGGGGTGGTTCCGGATCTTCCTGTGCCCCTCATACTGGGCAGAGACTGGCCGGGGTTCGACGAACTCCTAACTCACCACCACGCTCCATCGGCTCGTTCAAAGAAGAAGAACAAGCCACGGGCTCATCGGGACCGCAAACCAGCGCTGATGACCACCGAGAGCGACAGAGGGGGTGAGTCATCAATATCAGCTAATTTATACTTTGATCTGTTTCAACAGATAACCGCAGGAGGCGATTTTGGCAGAGCACAGAGGGAAGATGAAACGCTCAAACACTGTTGGCCACAAGTACGGATCATCGACGGTAATGAGCGACTTCCCAGCCCTCACCCCCTCCCACATTTCATTGTGGAAAATGGTCTGCTGTACTGTGTCGCAGAGAGGCGGGGGGAAAAGAAGACACTACTGGTCGTTCCGAGGACCAAGAGGGAGACGGTCTTAGAACTGGCACATACCCACCCGATGGCTAGACATCTGGGAGCGGCCAACACGGTGAAAAGGATCCGCGATCGTTTCCATTGGCCGGGGCTAGACGGGGAAGTAAAGAGGTATTGCCAGGCATGTGACATCTGCCAGAGAACGTCTCCCCAACGACCACCCCCCAGCCCTCTAATACCACTACCCATCATCGATGTGCCCTTCACCCGAATTGGTATGGACTTGGTAGGGCCTTTGCCGAAGTCGGCCCGGGGACATGAGCACATCCTTGTTATCCTCGATTATGCCACCAGATACCCTGAAGCGATTCCCCTGAGGAAAGCCACGTCATCGGCCATCGCGAAGGAGCTGTTTCTGCTATGCAGTCGAGTGGGAATCCCAACAGAGATACTGACCGACCAGGGCACCCCCTTCATGTCCCGGTTGATGGCAGACCTCTGTCACCTCCTCAAGGTAAAACAACTAAAAACCTCAGTATACCATCCACAGACTGACGGCCTTGTCGAGCGATTTAACAAGACTCTGAAGCAGATGCTCCGACGGGTGGTGGCAGAGGACGGGCGCGACTGGGACCTCATGATCCCGTACGTGTTATTTGGTATCAGGGAAGTCCCCCAGGCCTCCACAGGATTTACCCCCTTCGAACTGCTGTTTGGACGCCAACCCAGAGGGCTATTGGATGTGGCTCGTCAAGCCTGGGAACAGGAGCCAGCCCCCCAGCGGTCGGTGATTGAACACGTACGGGACATGAGAGAACGCATCGAAAGTCATGCCCATCGTAAAGCAACACCTGACCGAAGCCCAGCGCGCCCAGCAGAGATTATATAACCGGCCCGCCCAACCCAGAGAGTTCCACCCAGGGGACAAGGTGATGATACTCATACCTACCACAACCTCGAAGTTCCTCGCATCCTGGAAGGGACCATACACGGTGGTAGAAAGGGTAGGGCCGGTAAATTATCGAGTCCGTCAGCCGGGACGAAGACGGGAAGAACAGCTCTACCACATAAATCTTATGAAGAAGTGGGTTGCAGCTCCAGGTCATCTCGTCGCCTTCGCTGAAGAAACTCTTCCCGTTGTCCACATAGGTGAGCAACTCTCACCAAACCAGAAGGCGGAGCTGCAAGCCTTGGTTGGTCAGTTCAAGGATGTGTTCTCGGAGAAACCGGGCCGAACCACCATCATCCAGCACAACATTATCACTCCTCCTGGCACCATCGTCCGGCAAAGGCCTTATCGAGTTCCAGAGGCTCGCAGGCTGGCTATCGACGACGAGATCCAGAAGATGAGAAGGTTAGGCATCATCGAACCATCCCGTAGCCCGTGGTCCAGCCCAATAGTGATGGTCCCCAAACACGATGGCACCCTCCGTTTCTGCAACGACTTCAGGAAACTCAACGAGATCTCCAAGTTCGACGGATACCCCATGCCTCGGGTGGACGAGCTGCTGGATAGGCTGGGTGGAGCCCGATTTATCTCCACCATCGACCTTACTAAAGGCTACTGGCAGTTACCACTCAGTGAAGACGCCAAGGAGAAAACCGCCTTCTCCACACCCGGTGGGCACTGGCAATACCGGGTTCTTCCCTTCGGGCTCCACGGGGCCCCAGCCACATTCCAAAGAATGATGGACATCCTGCTGAGGCCCCACCAGCCATATGCAGCAGCCTACCTGGACGATCTTATCGTCCACTCAGAGTCATGGGAAGAACACCTATCCCGGTTACGGAGGGTGCTCTTAGATCTTCGACGGGCTGGGCTCACAGCTAATCCCAAGAAATGCCACCTGGGTCTAGCCGAAGCCAGATACCTCGGGTTCCACATTGGACGAGGTCTCATACAGCCACAGCAAAACAAGGTCAAAGCACTACAAGAAACTCCACAACCCACCACAAAGACCCAGGTACGTGCATTTCTGGGGTTAGCGGGCTACTATGAATGTTTCATACCTAACTTCTCATCCATAGCCAGCCCTCTGACAGACCTGACCAGAAAGGGGCAGCCGGAGAGGATAAGATGGACCAAGGAAGCCGACGATGCGTTCCGAGCCCTAAAGAAGTCCCTCACGTCCTCACCGGTACTGCACGCACCTGACTTCGGCTGCCCCTTCATTCTTCAGACGGATGCTTCCGACTCGGGCCTGGGCGCGGTCCTCTCCCAGGTCCACGGCGATGAAGAACATCCCATCATGTACGTGAGTCGGAAGCTGACCCCCGCAGAGACCCGCTACGCAACGGTGGAGAAGGAGGCCCTGGCGATCAAGTGGGCAATCCTGGAGCTAAGGTACTATCTCCTTGGCAGGAAATTCACTCTGGTGACCGACCACGCCCCGCTACAATGGATGGCTACAGCGAAGAACAACAACGCTCGGGTCACCAGATGGTTCCTGTCGCTCCAGGATTTCAACTTCGACGTCCAACATCGAGCCGGGGCCTCCCACGGAAACGCAGACGGACTCTCACGGCTCTGGTCAGGATGGGCAGGTCTGTCGAAACATTCTACCCCCCTCTCAATACACTGCTCTTCCTTCGCAGGATACCCAGGACCAGGACGACGCTAAGGGGGGGGGAATGTAGCGAGTCGGGTAATACCACGTCGCCCTGGGCACAAATCCACACCAGCTGGATCATTCATCAACCCCGGATCGCTCACAGCTGGACCTCATCAGCCAGGGAGAGATATAAGCCAGCCCCACACAGAAAGAAGTGAGCTTCATTTCACATGACTCCCTGCGCTAACGCTTGTCTCTCTCTGTCTCTCCCACAGCCGAATCCAGCTCGTGACCGATCCAACACCATACCTCTCACCAGTCTTCACCTTCTCCCTGGAGCACTTGAGCACGCACCTCTAAGAAGAGCACTCATTCACCCCTTTACCACTTGTAAATAAAAGCACCCTCCGGGGCATTGTTTGTAACTTCATCTACGGTGTTTGTGTTTTCCCTCTGCCTCGCTACAATATATATATATATATATATATATATATATATATATATATATATATATATATATATATATATATTTAACAGGTATATATATCTTTTGACGGCTAATATGCTGTTAATTTGATGCAAAAGTTGCAGACACCTTTATCCATTTATTCTCCTATTATGCGATTATTTATATTAAAATTAAAGCAGCCACTTATTAAGATATTGAATGGACCTACTATAATAGAAAATCTGCTCTAAAGGTAAAACTAAATCAATTGCTAAATACTCCTGACACATGGAAGTGTAAAGTCTACAGCCCACCACACATGTGGAAAGTTATTGCATGTCATATTTAACAAATAGTTTACTACAAATTTTAAATGATTTTGCTCACATGATATTCAGTTTTGCTCATAAATAAATATTAATCAGATGATTATTACAGTTATTACACTGCTGTGCCGTCAGCCAATCGTTGCATTGAAGATCATGATTGAGGATCAATAGATATGTCTTTCACAACACAAGCAGCGATCTCAGATAAGTTCATCCTGACATTTTCATCTGATTTGCAAACTTGTTTGAAGAACCAAATTAGCCAGAGATCAGTTATTAAGATTAAAAGATCCAGGATCTGCCAAATCATCTTAGATCATTTAAGCGAGATACGAAGAACAGACCCCAGGTGTAAATGGGGTCTGAAATGTTATACTTATCTATACCCAACCACATCAAAAACATTGAGGTAGTCGAAAACAAAGTGACAAAACTCCCATTAAAAAGATAGAACCATGCAAAGCTTGCAGTGTCATTTCTGCTTAAATGGATCAATGATTTTTTGACATCAGGGGTCTGTTCTTCGTACTTCGCTTAAATGATCTAAGATGTTTTGGCAGATCCTGGATCTGTTCATCTTGATAACTGATCTCTGGCTATATTGTTTTTTTAAACAAGTTCGCGAATCAGATTAAAATGTCTGGATAAACTGATGGATAAAGAGATCGATGCGCGTGTTGTGAAGGACTGATCTATCGATCTTTGAAATCATGATCAGCAATGCAACAATTGGCTGACGGCACAGCAGCGTGATGACATCATCTGATTAATATTCAATCATCCATGTGAGCAAAATTACATCAAATTAGCAGTAAACGGTTTGTTAAATATGACACGCAATAACTTTCCACGATTGTTGTGAGCTGCAGGCTTTAGACTTTTATGTGTCAAGAGTATTCATTATGTATTTCAATGCATATCAATGTATATAGTTCTACATTTAGAGGAGATTTTATTTATTATAGTAGCCTTGGCCTACTCAAGTTAATTGGTGTAAGGAATAACTGTATAAATTAATTTTGCATCAAAAAAGCATTTTGATAACTGTAAAGTTGTCAATCACCAGCATATTAGTGATCAAAGCACGTGCTTGACCGCATAAATTATTATCCTTTTTTAAATTTTTTTTTTTATAAAAGTTGAATAATGTGCATGTATGCGTTTGCATCTAAAAAGTTAATATCAATAAATGTTCTCTTTGAACCACCAGGTGGCAGTCTTTTACTTTTATTTCGAAGTGCAGATTGCAAAAATGTTATTAATATATAGATTTTATTTTCCCAAGTGTATATAACTACTACTGTAAGAAAATATCAGCATTTGGTAGATACTTTCAATATTATCTTTGCTTGAACTGACCCAATCTAATCATGTTTATATGAATGAGCCTGCTCCTACGCAGGTTTGAGCTACCAACTGTTACTATGACAACAAATCTCAGATGAGTTTTGAAGAACGAAACGATCCTGGATCACGTCAAATCGTCAACATCCAAATCCTGCTAATTGAGTAATCCACATACGAAGAACGGACCCCAGCTCACTGTTTCATCAAATCTTATGACCAATCAAATGCTTTCTAGTACACATCTGACATCTTATGCCCCCTTATTATTGGAATCTCCCCCTTGAGGCACTATTGCTCTCACTGGCAGAGCTGTGAAAAAACAAAATGCTTTTTTTTTTTTTTTTTTTTTTTTTTTTTTTTAAGAAGAAGGGCACTACACGGTCCCACCCTGTTTTTATGTTTTAGTTCAAATTATGTCCCACGTCAAACACAAATGCATGTTTCAAAGCACTTCACGGAAACTTTAAAGGGAACCTATTATACAAAAATCACTTTAATGAGAGGTTTATGAACATAACCAGCTTCTAATAAAAAAATATATTCATTTTGTTTTTTATAATCACACTTCATAAAAATAGATTTTAATTGACCTTCTCCCTTTGTACATGTCATCAGAGGGGGAAAGCCCTGCCTCATTTGAATTTAAAGCGACAGTCACCAAAGCAGCACAATTACAATCAAAGCCTAAAAGAGACAGTTTTAAGGAGTTATAAAACATTATCTGTGGGGTATTTAGAGCAGAAACTTCACATACACACTAAAGAGACATCAGAGTCTTAGTTTACATCTTTTAAAAAGGGGCATAATAGGTCCCCTTTAATACCAGATGTAAACTAGGCCAATACAAGTGTATAGCCTATTAAAAAGGAGGTTTTATGTGACTTAACCAACCTGTAGCTCCTTCTGGCACAAGTCTATCAAGCCCTGAATCTGGTAATACTTGGCCTCTGCTAGGAGCTCCATGATGCTCTGTCTGCTTTTTGGCAAATTCACAAATCCATCACGGAGATAGCTGAGAATGGAGCCAAAGTGTTTCCCACAGCGATCTATTAGGATCCAACCTAAAAAAAAAAAAAAAAACCACATTGAGCCAAGGCTGAAGAGGTTGCATCTTCTCTCAGGGCTGTTTAAATAACTCACCTTCCTTATCTGTGAGCACCTCCATCTTGCCGCTGAACATGGATCTCAGCAGGGTGTCCTGTCTAGTGAGCACCTGCAGTGTGGAGTAGTACAGATTTCCACCAACATTGAGCTGAACGTACTTATTTCCGGTCACACCACGGTAGGTGCAGGTGTTAGTCTTGGGGCAGCCCACTGAAGAGACTGGCAGGATGGGCCCGGTGTGTGGCTGAAGCTGGTGCAGGCAGCTCTCTCCTGACATGTCCCTCTGTAGGTAGATAACCACCCTGCACACGATGGGTCTGATTTCCCCTGCCGTGGTGAATGCTGCTGGCCAGGCTGATCGTGATGCCAAACCTACATGCTACACATTAACTAAAGCAATACAGAAGGATCTTTTGAACACTTATTACATATGTGGGTGCCTTTTTTGACCCTGCTTGAACATGAAAAAAAAAAAAAACAATTGTGATTATTTTGGTTAATTTTGAAATTGTGAATATTTAAAACAAGTGGACCATATGACCCAAAAATGTTTTTAAAAAGGTGACAGTATATGATGCTATAATTGTTTTACTTCTACAATTTTTTTTTCAGAATTGTTAGAAGTCAAAATCTAAATTTAATTTAAATGAAATGAAAATATACATGTTTACAGAAAAATAAATCAACATACATATATAAATACAGTTATTACTAAAGAAACTACACTTTTTCAAGAACTTTAAAGACCCCAAAGAAAAACAATTTATTTTTTAAAATAAGAATTAAGACATATTGAAAATTGGTCACTTTACAGACACTTTACACTATTCTTGAACTGTTTGAGCAATTGTGAGTTATAAATTCAAAATAATTAAATTTAAATGAGGTTAATCATCATAATTTGCAGATTAAACAATCTTAATTTCATACAATTACATATTCAGAATAGTTCAAGTGCAATTTGAAAATACATTTTATATCAATAAAAAAGGGATAAAGAAGAAGTAACATCAGGGTTGCAAAGTTGAAACATAATGAATTCCAACTGTTTATGATAACAATTCTTTGTCCAAAACAGACCTGAAATTTAAACATTTCTCCTCACACAAGTCAGTGAAAAACATGGAGGCTACTTAAAATAAATTGATATTTATTTACAACTGGCCATGATAACAAATTTAAACTTGCCAAATATTCAGTTCACATTGTGTATATCTTTATTGACAATATATTAAATTCTTTTAGTTTAAAGAAAATCTTGATCTTGTGTGTTTTACAGATTGGCAACGCTTTTGAGCAAACGTTTCTGCTAATGTTTCTATTGTGCTAATTTCACGACTAAAAGGCGCAATAACAAAACACCTCAGAGCTTTAGTTAGGGTTAATGCTAGTTTTAAAATACTTCAGCTTATTTAATTCAAAACAACAAAGTTTAGAACAGGTTATTACCATGAAAAAACTTTTCGACGCGTAAAACTCACCCGCTCTGCCGCAGTATAACTCGTCGGCGAGTAACTGAAGTCGACAGTTCTTCAACTCCGCTGTTTTACTTCAACCATATTTGAAAAAGAAACGCATAAACAGTTCTATCAGACCATTTAAAAACAGGGAAAATACCTTTCACATCTACCTTCAGGGCGATGGCTAACAAATGTGATGGATGGCTCTTCTTCGTTGAAAGATCAACAGCAACAGGTTAAACCGTATTAATGATCTACTGCCACCCATTGGCTAGTGCAGGGACAGTCAACAAAAGATAAAGCCCTGAGATTAAAAAAATGTACATTTATGCTAGGTTTTATTTTTATTTAGACAAATGCTTTAATCTAAAGCGACTTACAAATGTAAACAATATGAATACGCAAAGCAAACAAAATGGTAATAAGTATATATAGTATAGATATCATATATACAGTAAATGGAATATATAAAAGGCGATTTATATTATGTATAGCATATATAGAAAAAGATTACAAAGTAATACTTTAAAAAAAGTAATATTTAGATTTAAAAACTTCTTCATTTGATAGCTAATTAATATTAATATAGCTATATTTATGTTTACCCATGGTTTTAACTTAACACCACAAGTTGTAACAATTTCATAAGTAGACTTTTATTTTGAATTGTATACCCAAAATGACATTGTATGTTCTCGAATTATTGCAACATACAATGTGAATCTCCGTTTTTGTACTGTTATTCTACCTCTACATCTTAGCCTTTATAGAACACATATAATAATTAATAAAAACAAACACTGTTAAAATAACATTCCTAATAAAAAAAATATTGGGACTTTTAGCTGCTTTTGACGCAGCCCGTGACGACATTAAAATACCCGCCTTTACGGAATAGTCGACAGACTCGATTGGCTCTCTGCACCTGCCAATCACAATAGACGTAACCAATCAAAATCGTTTGTCCTTTCCACTCGCGCTCCGGGTACGAACTGCATCATATTCAAGATGTCGGCGGTGTCTGTGTATCCCATGTGTGTCCGGGCGAGCCGGGGCCTGCTCAGACTGAGGCAGGGGGCCCGTTGCTCCACGGCCCCTCCGCTGCTGGATGTCGTCCGGCCTTTATCCGCTGACACGTCCAGTAGCAGCGCAACAGGGGGACTGGCACAGGCGATACTGCAGGAAAGGCTTCAGCAGCAGCAGAAGAGCCAGGTGAGAGCTTCATTTGACCGCCTGACATTCCTGCATGACAGGAAAAATTCAGAAAGCCGGTCATTCCGTTATGGAAACTGACCTGCGTTTTTACATTCTGACATGTAACTACTGTAATATGGCGATGAATGAACGACAAGAAGTGGCTGGATTCTTCAGTAGTTAGGAAAGGTTGACAGGTGCTGGTGTGGTTTGAATGAAGTCAGGCAACATTGTGTTATGTGTGTGACATATGAGCTATGACTTTGGTTATATATTCAGCAAGCAAATGTGTATCATTTTAAATATTATAATAATATATTAAATGTATATAATTAGCACAATAAATTGGCCAAAAGATTAAAACAGAGTTGGATTACAAATACTCTCAATTTCATAAATAGACTTTTAATTTAAAATATATGCCCAAATTACATTCATGCTATAACTTATATGTTATGTCAAATATATAATGTGAATCTCTGTCCTTGTACTATTATACTACCTCTACATCCCAGCCTTTATAAAACACCTATAATAATCAATAAAAACAAACACTGGTTTAATAACATTCCCAATAGACTGAATCTATACTTAAATCAAACCGTTATGAGAAAATTGCATATTTAGTTTCATATTTGAATCTTATTTGATATGTCATGCTTTTCTAGCTTGTCTTGATATGCTATAAGGTAAATGTGAAAACTGCATTTTATTCATAAGTATATCCACCCACCCATCCATCCATCTATAATCTATCTATTCATATCATTTATTTTGTTATGGCAACGAATAGTAAAATGCAGTTCTTACAGTCTGTAATGAAATAAAGGAGACTTTGATTACATTTAACATTAAAGTAGATTACTGACGATGACCAGTTCTTCAAGATTTGATGAACCACTGTTAGTGTTGTTATTAAATGTTCGGTCAGCTTGGTTGCATGTCATAATACTTAATAATGTTTAAAATCAAAAGCTGTAAATGTTAATAATGCATATAACTTCACTGAGATAAATACATGTTTTAAATGTGTTTTTCATGCTAATTATTGTAGTTATCAAATTTATCCGAAACATAAAGTGTTACAGAGTTAGTGATTTATCATAACAGCATAGCAGACACTGAGGTAAAGTTGGCTTTATATTTACACATGGAGATTTTCTGCTTAATGTAATTTCAGAAGAGTATTGTTTGCTAATTCTAAATAGGGAAATCGTATTAGCAGCCAATGACTATCAAAGTACAATAATTCTCAGAGTCAAATAAATAGTGCTAATGTTGTTATGAAGTCTTACTTGCATGTTATTTCAAACTGAATAATCAAAGTACCGTGGTAAACAAAATAGGGAGCTTGTCACAAGTTGTCATTGAACGAATGTGCGAGTATAAAACCAACTTTACCCCAATATAGCAGACTGCTTGCATGAAATTGTCAGATGTCACTGTGCCAATAATGTCTTTAAAAGATTATATTTTAAGGGTTAAAATATATAAAGTATCAAGGGATAAAAAGCACTCTATAAGCAAAGTTGCAAATGGCATTGTTTTTACATGTCATGTTGATCATGCTGATTATGTTGATCATTTAGAGCTCTTAGAAATTACATACCAAATTTGATATTGTTCATTTTATATAGAGACCAAATGCTAAATGATTCCGTTAAATGTGTGGTTTAAAATGACATTAATGACTTTTTAACATTGGAGCTGTAACATGCAAGGTTACGAGTCCTCTTTTGACTGTTGAATAGAGATAAGGGCTGAAGGCTGAATGTTTTGTTTTCAGTGCCACGGAAGAACTGATGTTTGTTTCCTCAAAACCTCTCAGTGAAAAGAACAGTTCTTGTCTCAGCGTAAAGAAAATGTAAAAAATCTAAAGAATATTTTTCACTGTAAAGAACCTGAAGGTTCCAAAGTTCCGATATTTTTTTTGTCTGAGTTTTTGACAGAGTAAAGTAGAGCCGCTTGTATCGTTTCAGCATTGATATCGCAATGTGCGCATCTGCAATTGTCACATTGCAGGATCGTCAATGTCAAATCAAGGTTATAGTTGGCTAGGAGCCACAGTTGATTGTGTGTTTTTTTTAAGCGCGTGATTGTGTAAACATTTAAAGCATTCACGCAATAGGAATGATAATGTTTTTAACTTTAAGAAAGCTTAATTGTATTTAAGTATATATATACACACAACGAAAACTAAACTGTTATTTTACATTGGATTACTCAATTTGTTTACCTGAATCTGTTGTTATTCTTCATGTACCTATCTTTGCTCTACAGTTTTATCAACACGTTTGGTTGGTTTATTATATTTAATGCAGATGCACTCTACAAAATCATCATAATCAGTTGTGTAAACTCTTTCCAAATAAAGCTATTCTATTTATCTAGTGAAATCATATACAATATCGCAATATGTATAACATAAAAATAAAATATTGTAATGTTAGTTTTTTCCAATATCGTGCAGCCCTAGAGTAAAGGCAATTGGTTTCACTGAATGAAAGCTTCGCAGATTGTTCAAAACAGTTCAGTTGATGCATGCATTGCAGTAATTATTTAAACTGGCTATTGCATAAGCTTCCAGGTTCAAAAAGTGGCGTTCTTGTTGAATAACTGACCTGAAGCTGATGGTTTTACATTTTATGCTAATAATCTCAGGCGAGTTTATGATGGGATGCTTTTGACACCTTGTTCACAGGAACAGCCTCCTCCAGAGGGTGAAGACTCTGGCCACAAGCAAGATGAACAGGGCGAGGACAAGAAACAGAAAGAGAACACTGCATACGCCAAGAAGATGGTCCTTCGGTTAGCAGGAATTATGGGACTTGGAGGCACAGTTGGCATTGTATATATATTTGGTGAGTCTGCCAGTTGCTTACTTGCTCTAAAGCTAAACACTGCTTTGTTCTGGTGTTATCATTTAGAAGATTTTCTTTGAACACTGTTGGATTCTTTTTTTTTTTTTGCATTGACATGCTTGTGTTATTCAAAACATTTTAACAGGATTGATTGGATTGTTGTTGGGATTATTGGATTATTGATAGGATTATTCTGAAGTATTGTAATGATTTAGAAAATATTGAAATCAACACAAATGATAAACGTGAAGTACAGGATATTTTTGACTATCTATTTAAATTGTTTATTTTATTTTTAAAATCCTTTTTGCTTTGAAAGTTTTTTTTTTCATTTTTATATATTTACAATGCTTAGCATATATAAGTACACCCCTCATACATCTATCTTTTTAAATTCATATTTTTAATAGGAAGCTGTACAATAATACATTTGTGCATGTACATTAGATTAGTCAGTACTGAAGCCAAACCTGGAGCTTATCTTACAAAATAACTTATGATAACGGTCCAAAAAAACTAGTACAACCACATTTTTCTAGTACAACAATTTTATTTTATTTAAAATTTTGTTGAAATTTTTTAGGTTGCCTTTTATTTATTTTCGATTTTTTGCAATATTTTGCTTAAATTTATTTGTAATATCTTTCAATTTCTAAATGTGCTTGGTGACTAACAATATTATTTAAATAAATATATCTGTTTAATGAATTTGTTTTGTTTAAATGCACCAAAATACATTGCCTGGTTTCACTGAGAAATGGATACAAATATTCATTTTCAAAATTGTACTCTTATGCTAAACATTGTAGATGTTTTACTTTTTCATCATTTACCTTTTTTTTGCATGCAATACAATTATTAATTTACTTTAAATATTTCTGTGTTTTTAGCTAAAATAATACATTAATAAATGGATAATTATTGTTATTATTATTGTAATTTGTGCATAACATTATTATATTATATCACTGTGTATATGAGTTCCAATATTTTTTAATGGCTAACAATTAAAAATATCAAAATGAAAATTTCAGCTTTTCATATGTACAATCGTATAGAATTTTTTAAAATGCTTTTTTGCTTCAATTTTTAGTTTTGATCAGGTGATTAAAATTCTGAATGTTTCTGATCTTTAGGCAGCAATTCTGTGGATGAACAAGGAAATAAGGTAAGCATGAACTTTCACTAAACTGAGATTTAAAGGGATAGTACACACACAAAAAAAATGAACAAATTAAAAATTTATTAAAGTAGTTTCAAACCTTAATGTGTTTCTTTATTTTGTTGAGCACAAAATAAATTATTTTAAAGAAGGCTTACAACCTGTACCAATGCTTTCCTTAGTGAGAAAAACAAATACTATGGTATTCAGTAGTTACCAATATTCATCTCTTCAAAATATCATCTTTTGTGCTCAACAGAAGAAAGAAAATCAAACAGATTTGGAACAAGTAATGGGTGAGTGATAATGACAATATTGTCAGTATTGGGTGCACTATCCCTTTAAGAGTTATTTTTGGTCATTGTTAATAGGGAGTTTGAAAATCAAGAAGCAAGTGTTTTAATGTTTGTTTTCTTTTGACATCACTCGTACATCTTTAATTCATGAGCTTTACATTTGACACTTTAACAAAAAGAAAAGGTTGACCAGATTACTTGAATAGATTTACTTGGCAGTCTGGTATCTTAATGGTGATATCTAATAAATAACACAACACTTCAAAGCCATCCACCTTTTTTTCTTCATTTTTTTAATAATGGTAATTTTAACAAGCTCTTAGGCCACTTTATATTTGCATGGCACACTTTCTCACCTCCACTCGTCTCTTTCTATTGAAACTACAATGGCTTCTGGCTTGCAGACAGTTCAATCAGGCATCAGTGTGAAGATTTTCACTCTGTAGGGCACACTTCTCAAAGTGCTGTGAATTTCCTTTATTCAGTGATAGAGGTGTAGCACCTCTCGAGGTGGCCTGCTTCAAACACCTGCATTTACAAAGACTCGCAGGAAACCTGAGTGAAAGACAAGTGGGCTTGTCTTGTGTTGCTGTATTTTGTGCCTTTTATGCAAGAAAGCTGTGCTGCTGTAATAAGGAGTTGATTTTGACTCGAGCAGCATATTTTTATTTTGAGGCATTTATCAGATCGAAAGACATAGAGCTAATTTGGTAGATAAATTCATAGTGAAATATTATTATTATTATTTATCATTATTTTCATTATTACTATTATTATTACTACTACTATTTTTGTTATTATTATTATCATCATCATCATCATTACTATTATTATTATTATTACAGCTACATGACAGATGGCAATGTTGCTTTAAACTTCCATGACTTTCTTTTTTAGATTTCTGTTTATAAATTGTGGGCCTATACATTTTTACTTTAGTTTTCTCCCAAATTCTTTTTTTCTTTAGTTTTTAATTTTCCTGAACTGCATTTTAAAGTCCCAAATTGTACTTAATAAAAAAGCATGTCCAAACACACATTTAACATTTTCAGCTAATTTATAATTAACAGTTTACAATACATTAGTTTACGTGATGGGCAAAAATTAATCACGATTAATAAAAAAATTGTTAACATAATTTAAGTGTGTACTGTGTATTTATTATTTATGTATACACACAGGCATGCATAATTAATCAAATATTTATTTATGTTTAGATATAAAATTAGAATTATGCATTAGACTTTACATTATAGAGAGAAATAACAGATAAACCATGACTGCAGTTCGATCGATTTGCTAAACCTGATAAACCGCACTCTGTAATTTTTCAGCATGCTTTCACTTTTACATTTGAGTTCTTTCACACACTAGAGTTTGTTTCAATTGAGCCGAGACCACCTCATTTAGGCGATCTCGGACCAATTGTTTTGGCGTGGATCCGAACACACTTGCTGGATTTACTTATGCCAAACAAACCACACTAACTGGGGAAACATGGCAGGTTCTGAAATGTGAAACTGAAAAGTCTAGGAAAGCACCCTTAAATATCTGGGTAAAAAACAACAACTTTCCCCCCATTGAACGATATAATAATTTATTGTAAGAAACATTTAAAATATTTTGGACCAGTAGCTTTATATGTGGAGATTCATTTTCTGCTGGATGTACTGTTGCCCTAAACAAGAAATAAAATATTTGTGAAAAACATGTAAAAAAAAAAACAAAACAAAAAAAACAGACAAAATATATATACCTTTGGAACGTTAATACAAAAAACTTTGGCTGTTTTAAAACCTTGACTTTTTTTATGCCTAATGTGCACACGCGTGTCATAATAAACTTTTTCTTTGCCCAGCACTAATGAATTTTCCTTAATTTTTACGTTTAAAGCATGGAAGGGAAAAAATACAGTTATTGCATAAAAATGAAATTTTAATCATTGTTTTTACTTTGAGAAGTAAGGAAGTGCGATGGTTTTTGCGATTTGTTTTAGTACTTTCGATACTGCTGCCTATGGGAAAAATGACTAGGAATAATAAACGGCAGAAAACAGTCAAACTATGTGCTCTTCAAACAAGTGTATTTCATGACTATACATAAAAGGTAGAATAATATAATAAGAAAATATCAATTTGCAACATCAAGCTGCACAACGAGCCATTTTTAACATATAATATTCAAGGGAAGTGAATGAGACCGGAAGTCACCAGCCAAAAAGATTCTAATGGCTGCGCCTATTTGTACGTGAAGAATAAGGTCAATAGAGATGTCACAACTTCTTGAAGTAAAACTCAATCTTTATTTTGCTGGGCTACTTTAAAGAAGCTTTGAGTTTCCGGTTGGACACATATTTTTTTCTTAACTGCAAACTCAAAATGTGACTCTCAGGGTTAATTGAATAGCATATACGTTTTCAAAGTGATGCTGAAAATGCCACTAGAGTCATTTGAGCTGGAGTTTGTTTGTAGCAAATAAAACTGCTCCATTCATTCATACACACACACACACTTTTGATTATTTAATCCAAAATCCATCCCATATTTTAAAGCTCATAATATCTTTATATCAACTTTCTGTTGACATTTTCACGAATCAAATGGCAAATTGGGAATTTGTCAGAACAACCTTTTTAAGGTGTTAAAAGCTCATAAATGAGCAATTATCCGTATTTGGTTTCTAAAAAATCAGTTTAGCATGACTACTTTAATGTCTCTGGAAGCCACCCACCATTTCCCACTATCAAAGAGGCACACTTCACAAGTAGATGCCGAGTGGTCCCAGTCTGGAGGCATGTGCCAGTGGGATGAGGTGTGAAATCAGGAAGGTGTTCACTTTAAAGAGCACACCTCCACCTTTGATAGACATCCTGTTTTGTTACCTGCTTAAAAATTCGAGCTCACTTGTAAGGGCACACTTCACATGTCAGTGTGATCCCACAGGAGTTCAGAGAGGCGTTGATGTCCATTCACACACCTAGTACTCAATAAGATTCGCTGTTCTCAGCTTCTCTGATCTTATTGTGAGCTCAAGTCCTTCATCCTGTTCCCGTACTGTAAATATTTCTCAGTCTGAGGGACTGGGTTTATGACCTGTCTTGGACAAGACTTTTATCTTCCTATCTTGATTTCGAAAAGGAAGTGAATTAGTTTGTAAGCATTTTTAATATGTAGTACTGCAGATTTGGGGTTTTGAACTCTCTAGTGCTTACCAAGGCTGCTTTTTTATTTGAGCATATAGTAAGAATAGTGCAATACTGTTACAGTTTTGAATGACTGTTTTTATTTTAATTTGTTCTGAGATGCAATTTATTCTTGTGACAAGCAGTTATTAGTCAGTATTAGTGTCCCATGATTCTTCAGAAATCAGTCTATAGAGTAATATGGTGCACAAGACTTTTATTGTCACTGTTGAAAAGTGTTGTGCTGTTCATGTTTTTTGTGGAAATTGTGATACTGCTGTATTTTAATATTAGGAATTGATTTGGAATAATCATAAATGAGTTATTAATTAATTTACTATCACTACTATCAAGTTAATACATCATGCTTAATATTTATTTTGTTATAATAAAAATATTATATTTTTAGTATTTATTTTGTTGAAAAAAATCTTACTGACCCAAACTTTTAGAAAGTTTTATATTAATTATAATATGCCAATTATTAAAACAATTATATAAAATATCTAACCGTTTTTATTAGGTATTACTAATAGTAGTAGTTAATAAAACGGACAGTTGCAAAATACAGACTCAATATTGATAGCACAGTGTGTACTTTTCACAGCTAGAGGGCGCGTTTTCACATCAAAGACGTGACTGAGTGTTGAATTACAGTCTTCATTACATCAAACAGGACTCCTGTAGAAATCATTTACTTTAATCATGAGCTAAAGTATATTCAAAACGTATTATCATGGTAGTATGAAGCAGATTAAGTCTAAAAACCGTCAAAGTGTGACCACTGAAAGGCTAAATATTTCAAGTGAATTATTAACTTCTGCTGTCTTCATTTGTTTCAAAAACACTGATTTCCTTAAATTTAAAACAGCATCTTTAGAAATCTTTTCTGCTGGAGATACTACTACTTTTCCTTAAAAAAACAACAACAAAAAACATAAATAAATAAAAAAACTTACATATACCGTAGGAACGGTATAGCAGAAAAGTTTGACTGTTTTAAAACCTTGACTTTTCCAGACCACAGGTATACCTTAAAAACCATTATCGTTCCACGCCTAATCGTCATTAGCATGTGTCACTTAAAATCTCTAATTTCATGGGATTTAAACATGTAATGCATGAATCAATTGAATTCAAATGCTTGTTTAATTTAGGCAAAATAGGAAGTGCACCTTCTTTGGTGAGCTAAAAGGAAATTAACTGATACTTGGATTATAAATTGGCATACATTCAGTTACAGTGACCTCACATACTATTGGGACAACATACAAGCTAAACCTAAAAATATTTTAATTCCTTTTTTGGGTACAAAATGTCAAAGTCTGTTGCAATTATTTTGAAGAAACTTATAGTCTAAGTCAATAGCTACAAAGTAAATTAGCTTGCAGAGTAGACACACTTCTCACAGCTCTTTGGTGAGATCACAGGTGTCATCTCATTGCTGCTGTGCTCTATAAAACACACACTTTTCAAACCGTGGCATGTGCTGGACTGAGGTGTGCGCTCGGGAAAACCTCGCTCACTGT